TTCGTAACCGGCAAAACCAATTAATTGACTTGTCTTGTGAGCCTGACCCCGCCGATCTGCGTGAGTGGTGCCACCGAAGTTGAGAAATGTAGCACATCTTAAATACATGTTTTTGGACCCTGACCCCGCCGATCTGTGTGAGGGGCGCCACCGAATTTTAAGAAATGTTGCAACTCCTACGTGTTTTTTTACCCTGACCCTGTCGATCCGTATGAGGGGTGTCCCCGAATTAAAGAAATGTTGAGCATCCCTTGGGTTTTCGGACCCTGACCCCGCCGATCTGCGTGAGGGGTGCTACCGAATTTCAGAAATGCTGCAAATCCCATATGTTTTTGGACCCTGACCCCGCCGATCTGCGTGAGGGGTGCTAACGAATTTCAGAAATGTTGCAAATCCCATGTGCTTTTGGACCCTGACCCCGCCGATCTGCGTGAGGGGTGCCACCGAATTTTACAAATGTGGCAGCTCCTCTGTGTGTTTGGACCCTGACTCCGCCGATCTGGATGAGGGGTGCCAGCAAATTTCACACATGTGGCAAATCCCATGTGTTTTTGGACCCTGACCCCGCCGATCTGCGTGAGGGGTGCCACCGAATTTTACAAATGTGGCAACTCCTCTGTGTTTCTGGACCCTGACTCCGCCGATCTGCGTGAGGGGTGTCAATGTTTACCCACCCCAGCAATTCAGACAACACGCTCAGGGCGCGCTAAACCTGCTCGTTTTGGGCCTCCCCTCGCGCGGTCAATCAACAAGGAACAGTAAGCAGCAAGAAGCAGAACTGTAACAGTCGAAATTGGAAGCTGCAACTGGTACAGGAAACTGCGAACCTTCGGCCTACAGCTTGGTGGCCCCACAAGGGGGCCGGCGGATTCCGCCTAATGTCGAAACGCAGAATAAGACAACGATGATGATGAGGATGAGGCTGAGGCTGAGGCTGAGGCTGATGCTGATGCTGATGCTGATGCTGATGCTGAATATGATGCTGATGATGCTGAAGAAGATTATGATGATGCTGATGCTGATGTTGATGCTGATGATGGTGATGATGATGATGAATATGGTGATAATGATGATGTGGTTGCTGCAACTGCTATACCCAAGTACTGGGCAGTGACTTGTGCGAGCTCGGCGGGGACTTCGCTCGACCTCCGCTGTACCCTTGCTTTGCTGATCGGGTTCGAGCCTGAGGGCCGCGGAACAAACAATCTCACAATGCTGCTCTTGCGCAGAATGAGCTTTGTTTGAGCTTACAACCACCAGCCTACCCCATCCAACCTTCAAAAACTGGACTGAATTGTAAGAAGCGCTCGTCGCGCCCCACGTTCAGGGCGACGAGCCTCGTCAACAAGTGACGGTCTCCGAGCTTCCAGCTGGACCTGAGACTGTATCCAGACATCCTCGACCCCCTGGCATTGAGGCGTCCCAAGATCGCAGAGATATTCGCATTGTGCCACACGCGGAATAATGGAAACACTACATGCATCAGATTTGCGTGCGGTGGCCCAACAAAGTTGTTGGACAAAACGGACTGTAGAACTATGATGAAAAGGGGCCTCCGTAATGTAAGAGCTTGTGCATGCTGCCCGAAGCCGCCGGGCGAAGTCCGCAGCTTGGTTCTTTGCCACATTTGCATTGCTGCACAAGCGATACTACCGCGAAATCATCGCTGCAGGCCACGCCCTGTGCACCGATGGAGAATGCAGAGAATCGTCACCAATGGAATCCCCTGCGATGTGCGCTTGACTTGCACTCGATAATCCAAGGTGCCGCCTGAGAGATCGGCTCGCCGGTGCAGCTTGACATCCAATCAAGGTATCTCTTGCGAGCTCGCGCTCTCCAGCTCGAGTGCACAATGGCCTCGCCCGCGTTGACAAATCTCTCAAGAATCAGTCTCTGTCCTGTTGCAAACCGTCTAAGAACGCAGGATGCCGGCCTTGAAACGGAATTCGCTGTCAGGCCAATCATGTTCCTGCATTCGTCGTCCTGCAACCAGCTTCTCTCTGCTAGCTGATAGAACGATGCATCCGAGACCTTTCCAGAGCATATCATGCCCATGCCAGATCCGCACGTCACTTGCCAGAGCTCCAAATCGTCACAACCCGGGACCGTGACACATGCCAGGACAAATTTCAATGCAATCCGGTATTGCTCGCGCTCATCACGAAGGAATCGCGATGTCTTCGTGACCACCACATCATGGCTGCCGCTCATGAAATATTCCTCCACGTCGATTTTTATCATGGTCACATTTGTGGTGAACCGTAGAGCACGCAGCTGGGGCAAGAAATGTGAAGAATATTTGGCCAAGTCCGGTTGGGCAAGACGCGGCCTCAGAAGACTGGAAACGAAATTCATCGCTGGGGACAGCGGAGATTCAGGCTGTATGCAATGCAAGCCGTGCAACTTGCAGTGGCCCTGTGGCTTATGCGTTTTGGCAGTGGCACCAAACTTGAAATAGATATCTTCTGACGTGCCGCTGGTGCTCACCAGTGCGCGAAGCAGCTGCTGGTCCATCTCATCTTTGCCAACGCTTGCAATGTGGCTACGTACGTCACGGTACTCAGCACACACATCTTGCGCATGGCGCCACGATGCTTTGACGGGGATATAGGACTGCCCGTCTTCGAGAGTGCGGAAGGTAGCAATATTGAGTCGTATCTTGTTAACGACAGCAAAACCACCTTCTTTATCTGTCGGCAGAATACCCCACATGCCTCGCTTGAGTTTCTTAAAAGGCAACTTGACGGCCCCTGGCAGGGGGGGTTGCGGACTGGACCGAAGTCTGGCTTCGAGGCAACTTTGCCACACCGTGGACGTCCCCTCATCCACGAATGCACGAAGTGGTTGCGGCAATTCGTCGGGATATTATTTTGCCGATCGGCGCGGGCCCTCGCACCACCCCTCCCCTCCCTCCCCCCATGGAATAGATTTTGGCTGTTTTTGGTTTTTGTTTCGAGCAGGTGGGATCTCCCCCGTCATACGCACTGTTACACAGAGTCGCGCTAAGCAGAGGTCCGCATTCAGACCCCCCCATGCCGCCCAATGTCGAAACGCCGAATGAGAAAACTATGGTAAAGATGATGCTGTTGCTGATGATGATGCTGATGCTGATGCTGATGCTGATGCTGCTGCTGCTGCTGATGATGATGATGATGATGATGATGATGGTGATGGTGATGGTGATGGTGATGGGGTTGGTGGTTGTAGTGGTTGTGGTGGTGGTGGTGATGGTGATGATGATGTTGATGATGATCACAGGCTAAAGGAGGTCCAGGTCCCTCTGCGCCCCGCACACCGGCTCCCACCCCTCCCCCGCCAGGTGGAGAGTCTGCAGGCCGAGCACAAGCGGCGCGAGGCGCGGGCCCCTCCGCCGCGGCCGGGGGGGGCCCCTCCTGGGCGGGGCGGCCAGCCCGACCTCCTCGCGCCGCGAGAATCGGGCGACCGCAGGCAGGAATGCAGGGGGCGTGGATTCGCGGCGGCTCCCGTTTCCATGGGAGATCGCGGACTTCCGCCGCCCAGCGAGGCAGCACCGGCCGCCCTTGCGTGCCAAATCCATGGATCGCCAACCCATGTTTGCGCGCCCCCGAGAACAGGAGCACGGATGTGTCTGTAGGGGAACTAACAATGACGAAGACGTAAAAACTCAGAGGTCCGCGCGGATTTCTTGCATCGGCGCTGGAGCCCCCTGGTGCCGCCTCCGGCGCCGCCCCTGGCGCGCTCTGCGCGCCAGGGAGGGTGGTCCAGCGTGGATCCAAGAAATCCGCGCGGACCTCCGAGTTTTTACGTTTATGCAATTTTTCGTTCCCCCAGTTTGGGACTCTTGCGGTCCTTCTGATCTTTTCGCTGGGCCTTCCTTGAGATCTGGTGCTGCCGTTTTTGTTCCCCCCCAGCGGGCGTTCTCGCCCAGGTTGCCGCCCCGGAGCCCTCGCAAATCGATCCGGCTCGAATCATGACGCAGGAAGAAGTTCCAGTGGTGATTCTTCGCGATGGTGCCTTGTCGGCACGAGCGAGATGGATACGGCAAGAATGGGTACAATGCCCAACAGCAGTTCCTGTTCATTTTGAACAGGACTCGCTGTCCACGCCGCCGCGGCCTGTGTCCGTTCGAAACGGAAGGCCGCCTGCCAAACAGCGGCCGCTGTTGGTTTGGGACAGCATTTGCTGTTGGGCATTGTACCCGTTTTTCCGTACCCATATCGGGCATCCAGGCATTGTTTCTATTGCAGTGTCAGATCTCAGGATTGAAGGTTCCATGGCCCCCCGGGGTGACTCTTATGTGTGGCAGCTGCGCCTCGCTCCAGGGGTGCCCAGCTCGTCCCCAGACGGCCGCCGGAGGCCCGAGTTGCGGCGTAGTAGAGCTTTTGAAGCGGGGCCCTCGCCCGGGTCCGGGACCTTCAGGACACGGCCTGGGGATGATCAGCCACGCGCAGAGGGGGGTAGGGGGAGGGGGGAGGGTTTCTGAGATCGTTATCGTTTATCCGACCCCCATCCCCATCTCCATCGCCTTCGAGACCCCCACCACATTGCCACCCCAGTTGGGGATACACCCCTTGAAACCCGAAGGGAACGGCCTGTATCCCCATCTAGGGGGGTAAATCGGCCAGTGTGGCCCAGGCCACGCCGCTGGGGATGGGGATCGGTTAGACGATACTCATTAGAAGCACCCCTGGTAGGGCCAGCGCCTTTAAGAAGCAGCCTCCTCCTGAGAAGCCCTCCCCCTTCCCTCCACCCCCTTGTGCGCAACGCCAATCTCGGGGAGGGGTCCAGCCCTCTGGCTGAGGTCGCCACGAGGGCGCGAAGCTGTTCGCGATTCGGGGTTCAAAGTTCGCCGCTGCGAGGGCGCGAAGCTGTTCGCGTTTCGGGGTTCGCGGCTCGCGATTCCTCGTCCTCATCCTCCTCGTCCTCCTCTTCTCCCCCAGAGCCAGTAGCCATTGCCGTTCTGATTCCAGGCTGCTGCTCGGCTTTACGCCGGCCCACTCGTGCGCACGCGCTTCAATCCGATGGAGCTGCAGCTCGACGCCCAGGCAGCGGGTGCCAGCAACGATGATGCGCAGCCGCTTTTGCCGCTTTCAGCACAGAGCGGCAAGAATTGGTTGCGTGCTGCGCTGGCTACTGTGGTGATCGTGGCGGTTGCTATCGCGTCCGCCATGGCTTTCAACCACCAGAAGCTTCGGGCGGAGTCCGTCAACTTGGTCGCGACGCAGTTGGCCAGCACCATCAAGCCTTTAAAGCCGCGGAAGGTGTGTGCTTCAGGCGCAGAGAGTTGCATGGACTCGGGCTGCTGCAAGCAAACAGGCGCGAAGTGCTTCAAGATGGATGACAAGCACGCTTGGTGCAATATGACTTGTTCCAAGGGGAAGGGTTGGTCCTGCGAGGACATTACTGCCACGAAGGATGAAGTGGCAGCAGAAAACCCAGGTACAACGTTGTACTGCTACACGGTGGTTTTCCGCGATAACCATGGCAAGCCCAACCATGAGCTGGATTTGTTGAAGATGCAGATGCAGAGGGGGCTGAGTCTATTGTGAAGTCCTCACGGCCGGTGCCGCCGACCCTGAAGGCAGGACCTCCCCTGGGATCCTCGTTGGCGACCCCGCAGGGACCCGCCGGGTCCCCTGGAGGGGCGGTTCAGGTGTGACCTGGGACCGCCCTCCCCACCACAGGCGGGACCTGCCCCAGGACTCCCGCTGGTGACCACCCCAAGGGGGTGGTCCCCTGTCGCCTTGTCCATGGGGAGGGGGGGGGGGGTCCTGAGTTCGCCCTGTTCACGGGGGGGCCACCCTCTTGTCATCCTCTTGTCACCCTTCTGCGCAGGTGGGACTGGGGGGGGAGGGCGAGGGTGGAGAGAGGGGCCTTGAGCGCCCCGTGACCGCAGGGGGGACCCCCCCGCTGTTCCCCCTCTCCATAGGGGGGGCCGGGAAGGGGAGGGAGGGTATTGAGTACCTCCCCCTGCGTGTGCGCGGGACCACCCCTTGTCCTACCCAGTCCACGGGGGACCTTGGGGGGGGGGCGCAATCTGACCCGGGATCCCCCCCCAGGACCCCCCGCCCCCCCAGGGGTGACCCCCCCACGTCCCCCCCGCACATCCACAGGGACGACCGCCCCCTGGGACTCGCTGGGATCCTGGAGGGGAGGGGCGATGGCCTCTTGCCTTTGCCTGTCCACAGGGGGGGGGGGCCGGAAGGGGGGGTGGCGGTAGTCTGACCCAGGCCCCCCTCTCAGGATCCCACAAGCGGGGACCCACCTTTGCCCCCCCCCGTCCGCAAGAGGGGTCGGTCGACCACCCCCTGGGACCCGCCGGGGCCCCCGCGCGGCCCCCCCTACTACCCCTCCCCGTCGCCCCACCCTTCCCCCCCCCGTCCGGGAAGGGAGAAAGGGGGAATCGACTCAACTATGACGTTTCTTGTCTCTGTTCGTTCCGCATTTTCTTTCAGTACCGGCGACGACGACGACGACGACGAAGACGACGACGACGAAAGCGACGACGAGAGCGACGACGCCGACGACGACAAAGACGACGAAGACGACAGCGTCTCACACACACACACACACACCGAAGAGTTGGCGGATTTGCATGCGATGCGTACGAGATTTTCAGCGACGTGCAACTCTCGGTGGGCGACTACGAGGCAGTCAAGGTTGAAGATCTCGAGGGGGATTTTTGCAAATACACGCGTCCTGATACGGGAGCGTGTGCCAACACGGCCATATTCTATCAAGTGTGGCAGAAGATGCGTGGGACAAGTGCTGTGTGGAACAAGGTGCAGGACAAGAATTGGGTGATCAAGGCAGACATTGATGCCGTGTTCATCCCTGCGCGATTGCGGGACATGCTATCTCAAATGGGGGAGCCAAATGTAGGAGTGTATTATGAAAATTGCAAGGGCGTGGACTCGGGATTCTACGGCAACCTCGAGGTGGTGTCTACCAAGGGCTTCAAGATAGTCGCTGATAACATGGAGGAGTGCAAGCGAAACCTCTGCTGGGGCGGCGAGTTGTGCGAGGATTGGAAGTGGGGACCTTGGGGTGAGGACAAGTTCTTGCAGGAGTGCATGGACAGGCACGGTGTCGCCAAGTTGCCCCTCTACGAGCTGACCTACGACGGCTGTTGCGCAAGCGACCGTCCCGCAGGCGTGGAGACGCTCCCGAATTCGAAGAACAAGCCGCTGAAATGGAAGCCTTCATGCTTGGATTCGTACGCTCCATCCACGCATCCCTTCAAGACCGTGGAGTCGTGGGAGGCCTGCTATGCCGACACCATGAAGCCGAAGCCGCCGACGACTTCGTCGCACCCCCCGGAGTACTGCACCCAGACGCCGGCGGCCACCTGTGGCAATTCCGAGAGGCTGTGCGTCCTGGACCACCAGCGTTGCAAGGGCGCGGCGGGCAGGGACGAGGACCTCGGCCAGGGGTTCTGCTGCACCGCGGCGGGCTGGGCCGACGAGGTGCCCATGATGCGGGGGTGCCGCTTCTGCGGGGACGAGGAGTGCGGCCCCTGCCCTTCCTGATGCGGGCTCGCGGCGCGTGCGGGGCCGCAGCGCGAGCTTCCCGTGAGTGGGCCACTTGCCCCCTGTATCGCTTCATCCGGCAAATCAGTGGAGTTTGACACTGCGCACGCTTGGAAGTAGTAGGACGGATTTTTAGGGCGGTGCGGGAATCAGTTTCTTGGCCGCTCCGTATGTTCATTTTTGTTTCATGCCTTGTCGCGGGTGCCTGCGATTTTTCGGCCGAGAGTCGCTGCACCATGTGCTCGGTGGCGTGACCGTGTGGCACGAACTCATCACACACTGCACCTCTGTATTTGCGGCGCAGGTCGCAGTTCGCGAGGGGCGGACACGGCCGTAATTCGCCGCAACGGAGGTGAGCTTTTGTTTTCCAACATGCGTCGCAGGTTTAGGTTTGGAACCTGGTGGATGTTTTTCGGCGAGCCAGGCCGCCCTGCAGGGTCGGGGCGCGGGAGACCCCCGCATCGCTGCATCCGTCATTTTTGTTCCGATGTGGCGCGCAGTGGTTCTGTAGTAGTGCGGCTGGAAGGGCTGAGAGGCGCGGGAACCAGTTTCCTGGCAGCCGTGTAGGTGTATTCTCTTGCGTGTCTTCGATTTCTACGAAGAGCACTGTGGCACCACAGACCGCGCAGGCCGCAGACCGCGAGAGGCTTCTCTTCTTTCCCAGGGCAGCGGTGCGAGAGCGGGAAGGCACTCGTGCTTCGCGAAGCGCGAAGCGCCAAGATAAGCTGGCCGTGTTTGGGTCGGCAGTGGGGCCATGGCAGGCCAGCTTTCCACCGACCGGGTGAGCCGTGGTCCTTACCCTCCTAAGGGGAGACGGTCCGAGGGGCCCCAAGATATAGTCAACACGCATAGTATGGATGGGCAACCTTCCCAAGGGTATCCTTGCATACTTGCCTCCTCGGTCCTTCCTTCGCTGGCCGCGCCCCGCTCGAAAAGCTTCGAAATGGTCGTGCAAGGCCCTTGCATCCTTATGGTGCATCCTTACTATACTGGTTGACTGTACGCCCAAGATGGCCCGGGAGGCGTCCAAGACGGTTCCAGAACGGCCCCCGAAGGACCCCAAAGGCCGCACCTCCAGCATGCGTCCAAGAGGATCAACCACGAATCAGAGACGGCTGGAGGTGGCCTGGAAGCTCTTCAATAGTGACCCCGAGACGGAAAGATCATCGACCTGCAGACCTTGTTGCGATGCGATTTCGTCGACCACAGCTAGGACCTTCGCGCTCGCGAACCGCGCGCGCGGCTTACTGTGTTACTTCGTTTACACTACATCGAGTAGGGATCGGCTACATAATCGAATCTTCGGAACAACACGTATAATGCTTGTAGATGTACGAGCATACTACGTCTTTGAGTAGATTCGACGCACAAGCAATTTCGAAGTAGTTCAATTTTGTAGTCGATCCCATACGCGGTGGACGTACATGTTACGTCCGGCGGGAAGGTATCACCGTTTGCCACCTCTCGGTGAGTATATATATATATATATATGTATATAAGTTGCAATCGCAGAACGTAAAACAACGATCAACCGATCAACCGGTAAACCGATAAAGTATATCGGTTGATCGGTTGATCGGTTAATCCACCGATAAACCGAAATCATTATATCCGTTTATCGGTCGATAAACCGATCAACCGATCAATCGATAAATCCGCCCCTTGATCCTGCGATGGAATTCCAGCTCGGGGGATGTTTTTCGGTTTATCGGGCCCCGTGCCTCCGCGATGGACTCCCAGTTCGGAAGACGTTTATCGGTTTATCGGTTTATCGGTCGACAATCATGTGAACCGGTAAACCGCGAAACCCGCCCCGTGCCTCCGCGATGAATTCTCGGTTCGGGAGACGTTTATCGGTTTATCGTTTATCGGTCGCACACTGCTTTTACTACTACTACCATTACACTAACCACTACCGATGCTACTATTAATTTCTATACGACTATAACTACTACTACGACTACTAATCGGCGTTTATCGGTTTATCGGTTTATGGGCCGCATTTGGCATTATGTGCGGCGCTCCGTCAGCTTTTCGCTCAATTCGGCATTCTGTTCTGCGCTTCGTCAGCTTTTTGCCCACCACGCCCGGCTGACAGCAGACGAGCACGGTTGACTATTTTAGCGTGCGTTTACGACGAGTAGTAATTAAGCCGTGATGTTTCGCATATCCTTATCGGTTTATCGGTCGATCGGTCACCCACTACTACTACCATTACACTGACCACTACCGACGCTACTACTATTACTGTACTCGTACTATAACTACTACTACTACTACTACTACTACTCCTATTGTTCGTCCGGCTGACAGTATAATGAGCACGGCTGAATATTCCAGCGTGCGTTTGCGACGAGTAAGTAATCAAGCCGTGATGTTTCGCATACCTTTATCACATTAGAACTACGACTACTACTACAACGATTGTTCCCCCGGCCGACAGCAGAATGAACACGGGTGAATATTCCAGCGTGCGTTTGCGACGAGTGAATAATTTAGTCGTGATGTTTCGCATACATTTATCGGTTTATCGGTCGCCCACTATTACTACCACTATACTGACCACTACCGATCCTACTACTATTGATATACTACTACTATAACTACTACTACTAGTACGAGTACTGCTACTACTACTACTACTACTACTATTGTTCCCCCGGCTGACAGCATAATGATCACGAGTGAATTGCCATTACTATATTACTACTACAACTACTACTACGACTACGGATGCTATTACTAGGCGTTTATCGGTGTATTGGTTTATCGGCCGCATTTGGCATTATGTTCGGCGTTCCGTCAGCTTTTCGCTCAATTTGGCATTATGTTCTGCGCTTCGTCAGCTTCTCGCCTACCACGCCCGGCTGACAGCATAATGAGCACGGTTTTTTCAGCGTGCGTTTACGACGAAAAAGTAACTAAGCCGTGATGTTTCGCATATCCTTATCGGTTTATCGGTTTATCGGTCGCCCTTCACTACTACCACTGCGCTGACCATTACCGACGCTACTACTTCTACTATACTAGTACTTTAACTACTACTATTACTACTCCTATTACTACTACTACTACTACTACTACTACTACTACTACTACTACTACTACTTTTGTTCCTCCCACTGACAGCAGAATGAGCACGGGTGAATATTCCAGCGTGCGTTTACGACGAGTAAGTAATTAAGCCGTGATGTTTAGCATATCCATATCGTCTTATCGGTCGCCCATTATTACTACCACTACGTGACCACTACCGATCCTGCTACTATTCATATACTACCACTATAACTACGACTACTACTACTACTATTGCTACTATCGCTGCTACTACTACTACTACTACTACTACTGCTACTACCAGTATGACTACTACTACTACTACTACTACTATTTCTACTACTACTACTACTACTACTACTGCTACTACTACTACTACTACTACTTCTAGTATTTGTATTACTACTACTACTACTACTACTACCACCACCACCGCCACCACCACCACCACTACTACTACTACTACTACTACTACTACTACTACTACTACTACTACTACTAGTACTACTACTACTACTACTACTATTTTTCCCGCGGCTGACAACAGAACTCGTATGATAACACACATGACTGGACATTTTAAAGCACACGTGGTATCAATGATGCGTGTTGGAAATATATTCTGACAGCGCACAAGGGGGACACATGTAGCCGCACATTCAACATGCGAGACGTCGTATACGATGCATATACGGAACGTATACGAAACGTATACAAAGCATCTACGGAACAATCCGAAGTAAATACGATTGTCATACGATTCACGTGGCTGACGCATACGAAACACATGCGAAACACATACGAAGCACATACGGAACACATACGAAATGTCATCGTCACCGTCGTACTCGCCACGATCACGTCGCAGCACCACAAGAGGAACGTGCACCGACTTAGTAGTAATCCCGGCTCCCACAAACACGGGAGCAAAGTGAACCTTTAGAAGAAGACAATTTGAATCCAGATGTATCTTAATATATGGAGCATTCGTAAGGGCGGCCAGGATTTGTCCGAATTTGGGGGTGGCGTAGCCGGGATTGGTCCCAGTCGGCCGGGATTTGCCTCAGTTGGCCGGGATTTGCCCCATTATTTTTCTGGACCCCCTCCCCAGAGTCTGGACGTGGCCGGTCGCGGGTAATGGAGGCGCCCAACATGCCCAAGACGGCTCCAAGATGGCCGCAGGGAGACCACGATGACCTCCAGGATAGCTCAAGATATCTCAAGATGCTTCAAGATTGTTTCGAAGATGCTCCAAGAGGCCCCAAGAACGTTCCAAGACAGTCCCAAGTGGCCAAAGAGCGCCCCAAAGAGGCCCCGAAGAGGCCAACACTCGTCCAAAACTGTTGCTCGTTTTCTTTTCCTTTCGCTTCTGATGGCCGTCCGAGACTTCAGGATAGCCCAGCTATCCAACCACAACATTTGCGCCCCTAACCCCGCGACTACTACGATTACTTTTACAACCACCACACTACAATTACCGATACTACTACTACTACTACTACTACTACTACTACTACTACTACTACTACTACTACTAATACTACTACTACTACTACTACTGCTACGACTACTACTACTACTACTACTACTACTACTACCACTACCACTACTACTACTACTACTATTACTACTAAACTACTACTACTACTACTACTACTACTACTACTACTACTACTACTACTACTACTACCACTACTACTACTACTACTACTACTACTACTACAACAACTACTACTACTACTATTACTACTACTACTACTAGTGCTGCTGCTGCTGCTACTACTACTACTACTACTGCTACTACTACTACTACTACTACTACTACCACTACTAGTCTTACTACTTCTACTACTACTACTACTACTACTACTACTACTACTACTACTACTACTTCTACTAGTACTACTACTACTACTACTACTACTACTACTACTACTACTAGT